GGGTAGGGTGGAGCTCGGCAGAGGGTTCGAGAATAGGGTAGGGTCCAGTTCTTAAGATTCAGATAATAAAAAAGTTCCAAACCTTTATGCATGCACCTCCGTACAAGTGCTGCGTACAAGTTCCGGCCAGGATGATCGGGAAAGATCAAACCAATTTGAACCGCTCACATCACAGTAGTAGTAGCGTAAAGGCCGTAAGCCGGGGGGCGGCCATAACATAAAGCTATTACTTTCACACCTCTCTCTCTTTATCTATAGATATCTAAAAAGAGAGAGATCCGCTGCGTGAGCAACCCGACTGTGCGTTACATGTGCTCTACAGGCTGCACTCCTTCTTTCTTCCCCCTTTTTTCTTTTGATTTGGAAGACGGGCGTTGCGTTTGGTTCGAAAGGCATGGTTTTCAGTATGTCTCCAGATAGGCCCCCCACTAGTCCGGCTAGCTAGTGAGTGGTTCTTTCGGGCGGGAAGCAGGCCGGGCCCTACGGGCGGGCATCCCCCGCAACGCAAGCAGCATTGTTCGCCACCACCCGAGAAGCAAAAGATTCTAGAGTCCAGGCTGAAAATACATGCATAGATAGTGGTCTAATGACAAGGCCGACGACGGAAGCTCGGGACGGAGCCGTATGATGCGGAAGTCTCACGTACGGTTCCCCGAGAAGGGAGTGGCTACCTACTGGAGCTTCGACCAATCACCACCGGTCAATTCCGCTTTGGGGCCACCCCTTACTCTACCATTATTATAGGGGTATGGGGTTCGAGACAAAGAAAGATCAAGGCAGCATATCAGCTTTTCCTTTATACTTTACTTGGATCTGTTTTTATGCTATTAGCTATTCTGTTGATTCTTTTCCAAACAGGAACCACCGATTTACAAATTTTATTAACCACAGAATTTAGTGAGCGGCGCCAAATCTTTCTATGGATTGCTTTTTTCGCCTCTTTCGCCGTCAAAGTGCCTATGGTACCAGTTCATATTTGGTTACCCGAAGCTCATGTAGAGGCACCTACGGCAGGATCCGTCATCTTGGCGGGAATTCTTTTAAAATTGGGAACCTACGGCTTTTTAAGATTTTCAATACCCATGTTTCCTGAAGCGACACTTTGTTTCACTCCTTTCATTTATACTTTAAGCGCGATTGCTATAATATATACTTCCTTGACCACTTTAAGACAGATCGATCTTAAGAAGATCATTGCTTACTCCTCAGTAGCTCATATGAATCTGGTGACTATTGGTATGTTTAGTCTGAACATACAGGGAATTGGAGGTAGCATTCTACTGATGTTAAGTCATGGACTGGTTTCTTCAGCCCTTTTTCTATGTGTTGGTGTTCTATATGACCGACATAAGACTCGACTTGTTAGATATTACGGAGGTTTAGTGAGCACCATGCCGAATTTCTCTACCATTTTCTTCTTTTTCACTTTGGCCAATATGAGTTTACCTGGTACTAGCAGCTTTATCGGGGAATTTCTCATCTTAGTAGGAGCTTTCCAAAGAAATAGCTTAGTAGCCACATTAGCAGCGCTTGGGATGATTTTAGGCGCGGCGTATTCCCTTTGGCTATATAATCGTGTGGTTTCTGGGAATTTAAAACCGGATTTCCTCCATAAATTCTCCGATCTAAATGGTAGAGAAGTTTTCATATTTATACCTTTTCTTGTTGGAGTTGTTTGGATGGGTGTTTACCCCAAAGTGTTCCCGGACTGCATGCATACATCCGTAAGTAACTTAGTGCAACATGGAAAATTTCATTGAGAGGAATCAGCAAAGAAAAGAAAAAGGGTCAACATCTTAATGTGTATTTGAGAGATTGTCCTCGGGCTGAAGAGTGCCCACATCTAAATAAAGTATGAAAAAAATTATAAAAATAAGCGAGAACTTCTTTTTCATTTTGGCAAAAAAAAGAAAGCTCAATCTAGGAATTTTTTTTGGGGGGGTGGTCCACCGACAGGGACAACTGCCAGCAATTGAAAGAAAGTTGCGAACAGACAAAATGAGGATGTTTGACACCTCGATTGTCCCGAAGCCCTCTCATGCGAATTAAATCAACTTAGTCAATGTTTTGCCCGGTTTTACTGAAGGCAAAAAGAGCCTTAAATTGTCCGGCACCTTCGCGCGCATATGTACATTCCGTCGTTAAAGTGCTCCTACCTTTCCTTTTCAAGGAGAAGCGGTTGAGAGCAATCGAGAAGAGCTACTCGACTCAAAGACGAGAGGAAGCGAGTGAAAAGGAAGGATAGGGGGAGGAAGATGACTATCTAAAGCCGATAGTCCAGTAGGTCCTTGTAAGGCGAGTGGAAGGAAGTGACTCGACCGATAGGTTGAGGAAGTCGGGCAGGTCTGGAGGTAGTGCCTCCTAAGAGAGATGATAACTGCACCATTCAAGATCAATGCTTGCATCCGGAGATAGATGGGCGAAAGATGGACGAAAGCCCTTGAAAGTGGAACTGATTCTTATCTGGTTGTTCAAAGCCTGCCTACTTTTGATGACATGAGATTCAAGACCCCCTTAAATAAAGTAAAGGCAGCTGATCCCGATTTCCTTGATCCTTCATCTGGCTGGGCTGTCGATAGAGTAAGCTGGATGTGCTAGTCGATCTTGTAACCCACGAAAGCTCAAGAAAGAGAATGTCCTCTCAAGGCCGGTCTTTCAACCGCCTCCTTTAAAAATCACCTGGCATTCCTCTAGTTAATCTGCCGCGGGGTAGGGAGGTCCCTCTCTAGTTCATAACCTTTCTTCCAAAGCCTCCCCCGATTCTACTTTTGGCAGGCCATGGCGCGGATAAAAGCTTATGGGTTTTCTCCTGCTTATTCATTAGGGCGAGTGGATGTCAAGGGAGGGGATCATAGTCTTTCAACTCATCTGGAATATCACGGAGCAGCTTCGTGCCCCTGTTCCGGTCCCCGATGCAGCCCCGTCATCAGTAGCTAAAACCAAGGTCGGCCCTCCCCCATAAGGCCCCGGAAGTTGTATCTTATCGAGTGGACTTATCAGCATCACGCTTCAAAAAAAGTGTCCAACTCTGCGCGTGACTCGCATTGGCAACTTTATCCCACCCTACATCAGCCGGTGTGTGTGAGCTTCGCTCCTTATAGCTATAGCTCTACACCGCCGCCGGCCACTTTCGTTCCTCTACCGTATCCATTGATGGGATTTCTTCTCGACTGGCGTATTACGCACTCGGGCCAATCTACTACACGCTAATAATGGTCTTTTGGATTTAATATCCTACAAAAATGGAAAGTGGTTGGCCGTTCGATCGAGTCCATCCCTTGAAGTCGTACCCTCCCAGGATGCATGAGTCTTCCGCCGATTGACAGAAATGCCGATTAAGCAATTCCTCCCATCCCGATAAAGGGAGTCACCCGTGATTCGATAGTTCCATTTTCCGCTGATGCAGGCCGATTGGGATCCCAGCAGTCAAACCACTGTCTTCGTTCCTCACCCTCCTTCCAATCAAATCTCTTCTAAGGTGCCCGGAGGCAGGGGAAACAAAGGAGGGATTGATCGACCAACTTGAACAGATCCATAACCTGGTTCCATCTGTCCTGAATGAGGGAATTAAGGCGGGTATAGTCGAACTGGTTGATTCTAGGGTGATAAGCAGCTGTATCCGTATCAAGCCTACCATCTCTTCTCACGAAAGTCTTTCCACCCCGTCTCCGAATTGAAATATCTGTGGCCCTGCTTCAAAGCCCATCTACACACTCCAGCTGCCTCCTTTTGAGCTAGTCAAGCAGGCGTTGAACACGGACTGAGACTCTCCCGCCCCTTCGACAGCAATTCCTGCACTTGACGTCGGATCTCCTCATTCCCAAATGGGGATAAGCGAGAAGCCGCTTTGCAGGGTAGACTCACTCCTACCTGCAACTAAATCTGCTTCTATATCCTCCTCTTAGGGGGTAATCAAGCCGGAAGAGTGTTGCAGAAAGATCTGCACTTCCCTTTTACAACATAGGAGGGAGGGGGCCTCCTTCCTAAAAAAAAAGCCTTTCCGATTGCCTCAGCCCTTATCTCTTAAAGCTACGGCATCCCACCGATCCTCGGCTCTGCTAGTTGGCTTTGCTATCAAGGCATAGCATTCTATGGACTCTTCCACCACGTCCAGAAATGCTATGCCAACACCCTTTCTCCTTAGCCAACCAAAGTCTTCTGATGGCAATAACCGCGTTTGCCGTTAAAAGTCAACCGGTGTTCTCCCTACGCAGGTAACACCCTACTCGTATTACCACGGTCTTCCGAGTAGGATATGTAATACATAGGGACGACCTCACACCAGACGTCCTGCTTTAACTTCCCCAGCCCCAACTGACCCACCATCTCCGTGGACGCTATGTTATCCGAACTCCCAGCATCAATGATCATCTTTGCACTGTCCAATTCGGACATAGATTCGGAATACAGCCTTCCGTCTCCTCCTCCTTTCTGCTGGCGTTGGCTCACGTTGCCACACAATCTAACGACAGCGAAACAGTCTCCTCTCCTAAGCTTCAGAACCCCCGCTATGTTTCCGACTTTCACTTACCTTTAGAGCTTCCCGGGCTCTAGGCTCCACAACGTGCACTCTTCCATCTTCAGCTGGTCTATTCTGCACTCCCCCAGCAGCATTCGTCCGTCTGAACATTGGGGCAGTAACGAGAAAAATGCCCCACTCCTCCACATTCATAACAGTTACCGGATCTCCTCTGCAGCAAGCTCTGCTGGCCTCGCGCTCCAAACTGATGGCGTCTCGACGTTCTCCTTGAAGCCGTCCTGTCGCTCTCCCCCTTTAAGAAGTTTGTAAAAAGGCTCAAGTTTTTTGGCTTCCTATAATAGAAACCCCTCCTAGGTTGTGGCAACTTTCTACTCCTCCTGAGCTGTCTTGTCGTAAAAAAAAGAAAATTGCTTCGAGCATCCGGCTTCACCACCGCTGCCTGCTCTCTCCTTCTTCGGCACTTCCCAGTCCAAAACAGACCTGATCTTCTCTTGATCCATCTGAATCACACCCTTGCTGATCCAATGGCCAAGAAATAGCACTTTAGTCTGAGTACCCTTTCACGTACAGCCTCTTTTCCTGCTACACCCGGAACACTGTACTCAGGGTTCCAAACCTCCAGTGAGTGACTATAAACGATTATGTCATCGAGGTTTTCCTGGTCAAGGTAAGGCTTTGAGTTATCCGTTTAAGTGCGGAACAAGACCTGAATTAGGATGATATTCATAGAGCGGTTACTCTTTGTGTACGTTATGGAGTCTCCACTCCATGTTGAAAGCTCTTTCAAATAGCATGAGCGTTGAAAGTCTTCAATTAGACTAGAGCGTTAGATTCTTTTTTTTTTTTTTACTTCTTTCAAAGGGGGAATGAAGAAAAGAAGAGAGGAGGAAAGTGGTTCACTGGAGTTTGTCTCTTGAAAATGGTTATTATCTTGAAGGTCTATTTTCTTTCATGGTATTAAAGCCAACAAACAAGAGAATTAGGGTGTTAAAAAAAGAACCCCAAACCTGCTTGTTTAGAGAATAAAACTGTTCCTGTCTGCTTTTTCTTTTTTGATTGATTTTATGACCGATAGAAATGGAAACTTTTTTATTAGATGCCCTATACCCACCCTCTTTGGTAGATCCTAACACGAATTATGTACACTACACAATGAGGATCACAATCATTGATACAGTTTGGATACCAAGCTATCTTATAAATATATTTACAAAAAGCCTTCGATGTAGTGATGAAATTGTGATACATAATCAATCCTATTTGTTTTGTTCATTACTAAAGAATCCTATAAAATCTTTCTCTTTATCCTTTGAATTACTCATATATATATCCTATGAATTTCATTTCGCACCGGAAACTATTCTAGGAGAAGTTCGAATCCGTTCCGTTGGGATATTGATCGGTCTTGGTTGACATGGTTTACACGTTACTGGTTCCCGGAAGAGTTAATATCTCCATTAGCTAAACCCTTTCTTATTCTTACCTTGCCTTTGGACTCGTATTTTGTTCGTACACAATCAACGGAGGCCTCCCCGACATATCTTGCAACGTCTTCAATAGCATGCTCTTACTTCGTCTTTCCCTTAATAAGTCATCAAATTTGGTGCTTTTTGATCCCCAGTTGCTATGGGGAACAAAGGACGAAATACAATCGATTCCTCCATTTAAGTGGTTCTCGCTTCTCCTTGTTCCTGTTCCTAACTCCTCCCCGGGTAGTTCCCAATGTTTGGCACTTTCCATACTTGATGGGTGCAACATCAACAAATTCGCTCATGATCAAGTTACAACCTAAGATCTATGACCATATTATGTTAACTGTTCGTATTTCGTTCATTCCATCGGTATGCTCCCAGGTACCTGTAATTGTGATCCGTTTGCCAGAACCAAGGGGTCTTTCTGTGGAAACCTCCACGAACAATCGTCGTTTTTTGATGGTTTTTCCGCTTCTCACAGCTGCTCTTTCCACACCTCCGGATATCTGGTGCCAAATCGTCGCCCCTTTCCTTATTTTTTCGATAATAGAGTTGGCTATCTCTGTGGCATCGATTGTACAAGTTCGTGAAGAGGGCTGGACGAGTGGAATGAGGGAGAGCGGCTCGATCGACAAAAAAGAATAGTAGCCCCCTAGAACCTGGCAAAGTCATTATCATTATCAATGAATTCCCGAGCAATTCTCAACCAACATATGCGATTCATTCCCGTAAAGATTCTAACACACAGAAGACTCCTTACCTTAGGAGCGGGATGAGTGATACATCCGGCGAGCGCCGGTGAAGAACACAAGGAAAGCAGGAGCTCGGGTATTGATATATTCCATCAATAGAAAGGAGGCAGACTGGTAATAAGGCCGACCGCATAGGGGGAGGGAACCGAAAAGCTAAGCTTTGCGGAGCGGACCAATCTTCCGTACCGCCCCCCTGACTCTCTCCCTATAAAAAAAGCCTGCGGGAAGCGCGAAGAGCTAAGCCACTAATGTCGTGGCGAAGGTTATACCTCGGAAAGTCCGCGAAGTTAAGGTTTTGTATGTATTATATCCTTTCGATCGAGCGACAACTTCTAAGGAAGGTCTTCATTCCCCTTTTAAAGAAGTAAAAAAAAGTTAGGGAAATGGAGAGAGATAAAGTTGCAGAAGTGCTTCTAGATCTCATGGAATAAGGCATAATTTAGAACAAAACTTTCCATCTCTTGCTTTCATAGAAAAAAAATTTATGAAAATCCCGATTACATTACCGCAGGCCAAAATGAAATTTTGAAAAGCAAGCCAGAGAAAAGCATCGTTGAGATAATACCTTTCATCCTAATCTCATCTACTGAAAAAGGGGCCCTCTTGATCACCTGAAGAGATTTTTAGGCAGAATTGGCATAATTATTACCGTGAGGATTGAGCTGCCAAAAGATATTATCCTCCCTATCAAAAAATAAAAAATAAAGTGAAGCCAAATGCTCTTGGATGGGTAGTTGAATAGAGGGATAAATCCTTTTTTCTCCTTCATATTGAATGTAGTCTATCACTTTGAGATCATGAGAACCTTGTGAATTGATATAAATTATGGCATGCATCTCTGAGTAGAGTGGCATGGCCAAACATCATCCCAGAAACGAATCAGCTTACCATTGCCCAACCAAAGTCTAGCCCAAGTTCTGCCTGAAAGTCTTTCTGTATCAAATAAGACCTTTCTAGATGCAGGATATTTAAGAGGTGGGTTGGTCAATCCATTTTTTCCATTGGAGAGGTACTTAGCAGCCAAATATGAGCACCGTGGCTTTTTATTTTCCTTTGGAAATAGCCATAGCCACTTCATAAGAAAGGCTGACTTGGTTGAAGTCCACCTCCTTCGTTAAGGTGATTAAAAAAATCCAGACCATAAAAATACAAAAAATAAAATATTTTTTTTATGGGATGCTAGTAAGGATGAACATGACGAGGTCTTATTTCATTACTTTTTTTTATTGAAATTCAAACATATCTATCTCAATCTTGTGGAAATTTTATCTTCAAATAACATTTGAAGGAGTAGGGAAGGCTACTCTTGGAATTAGGATTATGGTGGGGTCATAAGAGATGGAAATAGTGCTGTCATGTGGAATTGAACAGAGATCCCTTCTAGGGATCAAAGATGCAAACTTTGCAGAAGCAGAAACTCTCCTGCATGGCCATGGTTTTGTCCAAACTCTTGATTCTTTTCAAGTCATCATATCAAACAAAAAGGGGTTCTCTTAACTTAGATGGACGAATGGTAATAATCAAGAACCTGGGCGCCTATGCTTTATCCTGAGAAAACATTTCTCAATATATGTTGAGTTCAAATTCATCATGTGAAGAGGGAAGGGACTCATTTAGCTGACCGTCAAGCTAACTTGGGTGTTAGGCTGCAGTCTTGTAGTCAGTGGACGGGAGGTCTTCCATTCCAGAAGAGATTGTAATTTCACTCTTTCCCCCACTTCTCATCTCTCTGTGGGACTTGTTCCCTCTTCAACTCAGCGCTTTATAGATAGGCATTTTTATTGAGAATGTAAAGATCCCACCTTACCTTAAAAAAAAAGTAGCCGAGCCGAAGGAGCTGTCACAAATAGAATTTGAGTACCACGGGGAAAAGCTAGCTGGATAAACAAGACAGGGATCGCCCGCTCGGCAATGCTACCTTGGGGAGGAGACAAAAGACTTTAATATAACAATGGAAACTCATATTCTAAAGCTTTTTCGATATATGAACAAGATTACTATGGAAGAGTTGGTGAACATTGTTCTGACTCATAGCTCTAAGATGACTAGCATGAATGAGCCAGCTTCAACACCACCTAGACTCTTAATCATAGACAGACTTGCGACCTCAACATAAAAGGATGAGCCTGGTCTGTCTATTTGTACGCATTGGCTTAATTCACTCCTAACCTCCCGTAAAGAACACATAATGAAAACAGCCTGCCTGGTAAGGCTGTACAAGGGGAAGGGCTTTGATAAGAAAGAGTTTGGGGGTGTCCCGCTTAGTTAACAAACATCGAGTTTAAATTAAAGTCGAGGCAGCATGGATACGAGACTCTTTAAGTGAAGTTTGGAAAAATTATGGTTTTCTATCTTCATATTTCAAAATGGGAGAATCACCAAGGCCTTTCAGGGATTCGGCGCCCCCCCAAGCTAGACGCTTCACCTACCTGGCCCCAGATAGAATGAGTTTTCCTAGCCCTAGTCTTACTAAGAGGTTGAATTGCTCTATAGGATAGTAGGCGAATGAATCGCATTAGTGCGATTTGGCTCGCTGAATCGCCCAGCGAACAAATAACCTCCTTGCTTTCTTAAAAAAAAAGCAGACCCGCGCGAATCGCGTCTTCGATCTTGCATATAAATAAATGAAAAAAATCTTTATTTATTTATCAACCGGGTCAACTGACGCCAGCATCACCACTACGAAAACTCAATTTCCTTAGTCCTTTTTCTGTGAAACAAAGCCAAGCCTTTTCCGCCTTCCATCCTGCGTTTCCCTGCTTGAGACTCTTTTTCTTAGCCCAGTCATGAACCACCTGGTTGGAGCCATGGTCTACCCAGCAGTGCTTCATATCCTCCTTGCTCTTTGTCTAAGATTGGACTAAAGGTACCAAAGAAGGCAGACTTTTTTCTTGTTTTTCTTTTGTCTAAGAAGCCCGTAGGTTGTACGCCAGCCATACGTAGCTGGAACTGTGATGGCCACAATGCTTAGCTATTGCCGATCCCCAAGACGCCTTTGGTTGAATGTTCACACCTGATCCACCGTCTGCACTTCCTACATTCACTCCCGGAAATTGAAACAGGAAAACAGGAATTGTAACCTCCCGGTCTGCTGTAGTCAGCCTCACGGTGTGCCTGACTGGCGAGTCTGCCGTCTCCACGGCTTTCCCTTTTTCGGGCTGCTCCTCAAGCCTGCGAGTGCCGATCTTCGCTTGGGCCGGCTCCGAGGCTCTACCCTGGCTTTTCATTGGTTTCTCCCAGGGGCCTTTATCGTATCGCGCGCATCTTCCAGCAATCGGGGGAGGCCCCGAGTACATAGACGGGGCGGTCCTGGGGATGAAAGTACATTCCCTCGTGTTCTGGAACTCCTTTTCTTCGGTTGAACAAAGAAGGTTCAATCTTGTGAAACCGTAGCGTAGGCGAAACCTGGCATCCCGCCCAGAGTTTTACCTTCTCCGGTCCTGGAAGGAAACCCTACTTTCCTTCCTTCCCCCAGCAGCTACAAGATCTAGCCTGATCAGATCTATATATCTCGTTAATGTCATAGTTATATTCCAGATCAGCCAAATTCTGCCGTTCCCGGCTTCATTCTCCACAGTAATGGCTTTACTACAATCCTTTCTCAAGCATCTGGTAATTCTGGCCGCCTTTCCACTCCTCACTTTGCTTTCCACCAAGCCAATAAAATCTGCCTCTTGTGCTCTAAAAGGCCTCTCTATGCTTCTCGACTTTACCGATCTTTCTGACATTCCATATAAGGACCTTAATGTGGAACTATTGTTGTTTTTACATTCCCTTCGCACCTTAGCGCTGCCTCTGGTTTTTAGTCTTGTGCAGCCCTTATTTGTCTTTTGTTCTTTGGCCTTGACTTTCCCCATCCCCCCTCTTTCTTAGAATTCAACATCTCTTATATGTTCTTCATTTTATTCGCCCACTCTTCATTCAGGGTGGTTAGAACCAGGGGAGGATCTTCCACCTTTAAGGTCATAGCACCAGCACCTGAACGCTTACTCTTACTGCTCTTCTCAGGTTCACCTCTTTTATTAGGATTGGCTGCCTTGAGGTTATTGTTTGGAGTCATTTGTTTATCACAGAGCAAGTCCCCCTCAGTCACTGCCATAGTTGACCCAGTATCAACCCTCTCTTCCAGATCCTCCCTTCTTTGTTTGGGCCCAATCACTCTCCTCGGGAGTTATCTCCTTGACTACACCTCCTCGGCTTTGTTACCCAGACATTCATCCTGAGCAGTCTCTTCCGGTTCCTGGGATATCTTGATTCTCTTTAGGATGGTCGGAAACAACTCCCTTTGGGGAATAAGGAATCGATCCTAAACGTCTTTGGTTCCCGGCTTTGATAGCTTGAAAGCAAAGGTGAAGATTCCATCTTAGCCATGGACCCCCACTAACCAGCCTAAAGATCTCATCCTCCCCCCCTTCATCTTGATCTTGACGGAGGAACATGAATTGGGTCTATTGTAGCTTCACTCCTTGGGATAAGTTATCCAATAAATGTCGTGGAATAGGAAGAGATCATTTGAATACCGAAACTCTTCTACGTCAGCCTTTGAGCAAAACCTCTTTTGTTTCGAGATGCGAAGAATCATATCCCAAAACTAAGAAGGAATCAAGCTGCAAACTTTCCTCCTCAGATGAGGCTTAGTTCAGCTAGCCCTAGACAGATCACATCTCATTAGAAAGGTATTGAATTCTCATTAGAAAAAGGGCTTCCCAGAAGAAAGAATTGAATTAGCTAAGTCAGTAAGAATGACTAGGACCTAGCACAATACGTTCTTTGATTCGACATTCCCGGTCAAAGCATTGATTCTAAGCCTTTCGTTAGCTCGTTACTTCAGGGTATTCTCAAATACTTTTTGGTAGGAGAACTCTTCCTATTACGTACGGATAGTACTACTACTCTTTGTTATCCACGTAGTATCTTCGTAACAACCACAGAGGGAAAGAGCCTTAGCTTAGGTTGAGTCTTTGTTTACGTTGATTGTCCGGGAAGCCTTCCCATTTGAAAAAGGAGAACCGAGCAACAATGGTTTCGGGTGAACAAAGGACAACGAACCTGATGCAGTGGTGTAGGACTGCAAAGCCGTAGCCTGTGACAGCGATGAAGACTCGATGCTTGAGTCTGTCATGAGTGAAGATGCCACTAGGGAAGCAGAAGACACACCAGTAGTTGAGGCTGGAATCAAAGTAGAGTTCTCAGAGGAGAGGAAGAAGGAGCTGTTGAGTCAGATGTGGCATTAGACTGAAAATAGGTTCTACTCGAAGCAGGAAAGAGGGCTTTCGGAGACCTTCTTCAGCTCGGAGACCCAGTATGTAAACTCAGCACTGAAACCCTGCTAATCGACTAATGCTTGGAGTTGGCGTCAGAAGATGAAGGTTCAGACTCCTTACTTCAACTATCAGTAGTCATCTCTATGACACTTCTATACCGACATGACTGGGCAGGTAGGCTCCCCCGGATGAAAGCTATGGCAGGTACCTGTGGACCAACCTCTTTCTGCTACCCGATTGACAAAGCTTTCAGCCCTATCAAAGCCAGATCCCTCTCCTTTCACTCGACTTACTTCGTACCTCTCGCACTGTAGGAATTAAGGCGACTGACTTACGTACCTTATCCCTTCTCAAACATATCATGTCTCTTGCAAAGCCATATCTTCTTTCTTTTATGCTATCCTTTTTCCATGAAGTATATTAAACCATTCTTCAGGTTGATGAGCCGGAACCTGAAATAGTTTCCAATGAACCACTACCCACACCAGAAAGATTGCCTGGGGCTGATGCTTACAGCGATGTGGCCTACTTGTATACTAGTTTTCTATGGGGCTACCCAGAATCTATATGGGCTTAGGCCTGCCCAAATGATGTTCAGCGGTCTCTACCCAAGTAGCTGTGGCCCATGATACAAAAGACCCGCAACTAGTTAATCACTCCGTGCCTTACCTTCTAACTAACCTCTTCGATTTCGCTTATCCTAACAGTAATTGATTAGGCGTAGCTGTTGAAGCTGGTGGTTGTTCACACAGGCAGGCAGTGTTATGTGATTATGAGGGTGTATTTGCTTCACAAGGTAGTTAGTTTGCTCATGAAACAGGCATGATAGTCTTCACTCACAGCAACTTGAGTGCGGAGAAGGGGTGGTCTTACGGAAGGTCGAAGAAGGACCACTGCTTTGTTCCAGGGGTGAAGTAGCTGCTTCGAGTTGGACGTTCGTGACTAGTGCCTATGCAGCCTTCACTTGGTCAACGGATTGGTTGGATCTGCTGCTTCAACTCGGTCAAATGCAACTGCTATATGTTGCTGGGGCTAAAAGTGAACTATGCCAATCACATTGATTAGGACCCATCGCATCATTAACCGGTACCAATCAATCATCCACCCTATCTCATCTTTTCTAAGCCAATTTTCTTAGGGGTCACATGACCACCCAACCAAAGCACTGAAGGCTCTAGTCCGGGGGTTTCTTCTTCTTCTTCTTGCCAGTATTAGGTTTCTTCACCTTCTTCTTAATGTCAGTATTAGGTATCTCGTCTATAGTAGGGTTAGTGCCCTTTGTAGGTTCTTCTTTCATCTCCTTGTCTCTCCCCTTTTTCTTCTCTCTTTCCTTATGAGATAATTTTTTCATGGAGAAAGAGATTCTCGTTCTTAAGATGTGTTACATCATCCCTTAGCAACATGACTAGTTTTTTGCTAATGTTATCTAATCTAGACAGGGTCTTTGACATCAACAGGCTTTGTATCAACCCAGTACTCCCCCTTATAGACTTTTATCCTCTTAGGCTTTTGATTAAGCCCAATCTTGACATTTATGTCTTTCTTAAAGATGTTAAGTGAGGACCACTCAATCCTGAAGTTGGCTTCCACCGCTACTTGTAGCGTACGATCAGGGTCAGCGTACTGTGAAAGAAACCATTCTGGAGTGATTTCCTTATTCGCAAGCCCTTTGTACTTGACAGTATCCTTTCCTTTCTCATTCCAGAAGTAATAGGCCTTCGGAGCTAAAAAGTATCCTTTAACTATTCTGTCCTCTAGCTTAAACAGACCTAAGATAGAAGATGAAATCAATTCTTCAGGTAGTGGCTTACTTAGCACAACAGAGTCAGTGTCTGTGTAGTAACAGTCCTCTCTCGAGGTGTACGGGTACATATAGATCCTAGCATAGGCTGTGATTGCAGCAGCAAGTTGGACAACAGAGTTATTTGGTGGATCCCAATAATATGTCTCGGTATTGCTATGATAGGTAATGATGTATTTAGAATCGCTAAGCTCATCAGTAGATATCAAATTAGTCTTTCTTATTAAAAGTTTGCGTCTTTCGTTATCGCAGATCTCGGTTACTGTGCCCTTAGGGTTAATGCCGAATCTACCATATAGCGAATTCATAAGGATCTTATACACATAAGAGAAAGCATCATTCCCTGACTTTTTTGCTTCTAACCTGCTTGAAAAGATAGCGCTTACAAACTCCCTGAATGGGCTTTCCTTCTTCTCAAAGAGGTAGCCTGAGATTGGAATCACTGTGTAGCCAATCTCTCTAGCAAACTTCAATTCTTCACCATAGTATACACCTACAAATTCTCCTGTTGGAAAGATGAGAGTACCCTCCTTCTCTCGATAGGGTAGAAAGGGCTTCTTGATAGTTTTCGGACATACTATATATGCTTCAATAAAGTCTAACATGCCATCTAAGTCCCTGTCTTCCAGATTTCCATACCAGACTGGTACACCACCAGGCATTGGGTATTCCTTCATGACAAATGGATAGAGCGAGTTCACATCGTAGTAGTATAGGTCCTCCCCATAAGGCTTATACACATCCGTATGACCACCGTAGTATGCATGTCTTATAAAGTTGTCTTCATTTCTGCTAGGGATGTGGATTGGAAAGATTTTCTCATCGTAGTATCTCAAACGAAAGATGCTTAGAGCTAGTGAGGAAAGGGTGATTTTACCCTCAATGTTCACTTTGTACAAATTCCAATATATCTCTTGTGCTTTTTTCATCACACCACCTAAGAGATAGATGTCCTGCTTCATATATTCCACCAATTCATCTCTCATAGTAACCAACTTCTCAGGAGTGACTTCGCTATAGTTGATAGAACCCTTCGTGCCTAGATCAGGACAGAGACTCTTAGCCAGCTCACTAAGTTTACTAGGAAGTAGATTATAGGAATCCCTGAAGCGGAATAACATCTTTTTACCCAAATAGACAGCTAACTCATAAAGCCTGTTATTCCTCATCAGAGGTTTGAGCTTGTATTTCGGGTGCTTACATGCGAGGTGCTTTAGCAAGAGAATACCAT